GACTCTTCATTGACCATGGTGAAGGTTGAGGACTCTCCATTGACCATGGTGAAGATTGAGGACTCTTCATTGACCATGGTGAAGGTTGAGGACTCTCCATTGACCATGGTGAAGGTCGGGGACTCTCCATTGACCATGGTGAAGGTTGAGGACTCTCCATTGACCATGGTGAAGGTCGGGGACTCTCCAATGACTATGGGGACTCTCCGATGACTGTAGGGACTCTCCAATGTCCATGGTGAAGGTTGGGGACTCTCCGCTGCCACCGAGGACGATGACGACAACGCTGGGGGACGCCGGCGACGCCGGGGGCCGCGGGGGCGGCTCGGCGGCCCTCGGCTCTCCGGGACGACACACGAGGGGCTCCGTGACGACGCCGCCCGCCCTCCTCAGGCCTCCTCTTCGGCCTCCTCGCCGAAATCCTCCTCCTCCTCGGCCGTGGCGTCCTGGTACTGCTGGTACTCGGAGACCAGGTCGTTCATGTTGCTCTCGGCCTCGGTGAACTCCATCTCGTCCATGCCCTCGCCCGTGTACCAGTGCAGGAAGGCCTTGCGGCGGAACATGGCCGTGAACTGCTCCGAGATGCGCTTGAAGAGCTCCTGGATGGCGGTGGAGTTGCCGATGAAGGTGACGGCCATCTTGAGGCCGCGGGGGGGGATGTCGCACACGGCCGTCTTCACGTTGTTGGGGATCCACTCCACGAAGTAGGAGCTGTTCTTGTTCTGCACGTTGAGCATCTGCTCGTCCACCTCCTTCATGGACATGCGGCCGCGGAAGACGGCGGCCACCGTCAGGTAGCGGCCGTGCCGGGGGTCGCAGGCCGCCATCATGTTCTTGGCGTCGAAGACCTGCTGGGTGAGCTCGGGCACGGTGAGGGCGCGGTACTGCTGGCTCCCCCGGCTCGTCAGCGGCGCGAAGCCCGGCATGAAGAAGTGCAGGCGCGGGAAGGGCACCATGTTGACGGCCAGCTTGCGCAGGTCGGCGTTGAGCTGCCCGGGGAAGCGCAGGCAGGTGGTGACGCCGCTCATGGTGGCCGACACCAGGTGGTTGAGGTCGCCGTAGGTGGGCGTGGTCAGCTTGAGGGTGCGGAAGCAGATGTCGTAGAGCGCCTCGTTGTCGATGCAGTACGTCTCGTCCGTGTTCTCCACCAGCTGGTGCACCGACAGCGTGGCGTTGTAGGGCTCCACCACCGTGTCCGACACCTTGGGCGACGGCACCACCGAGAAGGTGTTCATGATGCGGTCGGGGTACTCCTCGCGGATCTTGGAGATCAGCAGGGTGCCCATGCCCGAGCCGGTGCCGCCGCCCAGCGAGTGGGTGAGCTGGAAGCCCTGCAGGCAGTCGCAGCTCTCGGCCTCCTTGCGCACCACGTCCAGCACCGAGTCCACCAGCTCCGCCCCCTCCGTGTAGTGGCCCTTGGCCCAGTTGTTGCCGGCGCCGCTTTGGCCTGGGGAGGGGGGGGAAGGGGGGTCAGCGGTGGGTTGGGAGCTTTGAAGAGCGTTGAAAGCACCTTTGGGGACCTTCAGAGCAACCTCGGGGACCTTCAGACCAACTTTGGGGACCCTGAACTCACCTTTGGGGACCTTCAGACCAACTTTGGGGACCTTCAGAGCAACCTTGGGGGCCTTTGGACCAACCTTGGGGACCTTCAGACCAACTTTGGGGACCCTGAACTCACCTTTGGGGACCTTCAGACCAACTTTGGGGACCTTCAGACCCATCTTGGGGACTTTCAAACCAACCCTGGAGATCTTTAAACCAACCCTGGAGATCTTTAAACCAACCCTGGAGATCCTTAAACCAACCCTGGGGACCTTCAAACCAACCCTGGGGACCTTCAAACCAACCTTGGAGATCTTTAAACCACCCCTGGGGACCTTCAGACCAACCTTGGGGACCTTCAGACCCATCCTGGGGACTTTCAAATCAACCCTGGAGATCTTTAAACCACCCCTGGGGACCTTCAAACCAACCTTGGGGACCTTCAAAGCACCTTCAGGGACCTTCAGACCAACCTTGGGGACCTTCAGACCAACCTTGGGGACCTTCAGACCAACCCTGGGGACCTTCAGACCAACCTTGGGGACCTTCAGACCAACCCTGGGG